TTTGTGCCACAGTGTGTTTCTGTCTACAGAATGTGAATAATAATGTACTTTAACTCACAGGGACATTCTATACAAATTATTTTTCTTCACTTTGAGAATCCCCAGATACTAAAATATTGCAAAAAATCCCTTTGTCTCTCTTTCCACTTCTGTAAGCGTATCCTGGAAGAAGGAAACTTGACTTGTAACCAGTTTGAGTGACCTTCAGACTGTATGCCCATTTTTGCTCTCATTTTTCTGACATTACTGTCAAATCACCATATTGAGCACAACCCCATTCTGCTTGAGAATAAATATGGCATTGATTTAAATATTTTAAAGGGAAAATTTCTCTTGAAATGCATCCTTCTGTCCTTGTCGATTAACAGGCTTGACATAATATGTATTACCATAAAGATGGTAAGGCCATTTATAACTGAGATTCCAGTAGCTGACTTGTGAATACGTTATGCTGGGGCGGGGAGGAGGAGCAAAAGGTAGAATACAGAGAAGAAAAATTGCATAAAAGACAAGGAAGAAAGGTGTGTATATATAGGACAGGTTAAATGCATAAATATTTCAATGGCAAACTTTCTCTTCTTTATCATCTGCAGCCTTCTTGATTTAGGAGGACAGAACATAAGACTGTGTTATTACTCTCCAGACATCAGAGATTATTAATTTGCTACATGTTTAGCTAAGCATGTATGGTCTCAATGAGACTGCCTAAATTTAACTGAGGACTTCTCACTGATACAGGATTTTGAAGGAATTGTACACTCAAAATGAAAGCCAGGAGGAAGTTCAGATGCTCCATCACATTGAAAACATTAGTTTGAGTATAAGATGTGACTGTGTAACCCTTCTTGATGTCTCAGAACTTTTTCCTGTGGTCAGACTTAAAGGAGCATCAGTGAGGCTACAGTGTCACACTCAGCAGAGCAACAAAACAATCAGTGGTAGAGCTGATCTCAGAACAATGTGAACAATCCTGTAGCTAGTACAGACTTAAACTCATGCAAATTGTATGAATAGAATGAAGAACAAAGAAGTAATTGCCTGTTTTCAGAAGTAAGCAACCTTGGCTAGGTAAATGCTATTCTTTTTTATTTTAATGAATCAAACCAACCTCGACAAAAGCATCACAGGAAAAAGGACTCAATTTTTGGAAGACACCTCTCTAAAATTATCCAAGTAGTGAAAACATTGTGTCTTGTTTTAGTTCTATTGATCAACTACTGATTGCAAATCAAAGTAATGTAAAAATCCTCTAATTATTGGTTGCATTAGTTCCCAAGTCTTACATTTGTTGTTGTAGCATGAATTAGAACAAGTTCTTAGGTTTCTGAAAAAATTCTTCCCCTGTTGGGAAGCTATCATTTTGACTTTTTTCTTATGAATTGAAAAGCCTTCTCTTGTAATGCATTAGTCTTCTCATATTTACTTTTGTAAGAGCACCAAAAGTACCTGTGCTGTCAGTGGCTACCAAGGGTCTTGTCACCTCCCTCATCACCTTGATGGATGGTCCTTAAAGGCAATAGTGTCATGTGTACTAGAGTGACTTTGGTACCTACATGTAATAGGAGGATGTTACAGAACTCAAAAGAGACGTGTACACAATGGTCCCGTGGGACAAATCAGTCCTAAAGATTCCTACATGGCATTTCTCTTAAGAGGATTTAGAGGACATGGAGGTTAATGTGCTGGGAGAAGCTGTGGAACAGATTTGAGATGAGGTGCAGCCCTACCATACCCTGTTTTTCTGTGGTGTCCTGGTTTCAGCTGGAACAGTCAGTTTTCTTACTAATAGTTGGCACAGTGCTGTGTTTTGGATTTAAGATAAGAATAATGTTGATAAGACACTGATGATTTAGTTGTTGCCAAGTAATCTTTATGCTAAGACAAGGACACTTTTCCTCTTTACATGGCCTGCTGGTGAGAAGGCTGGAAGGCATATGGGGTTGGGAGGGGCACAGCCAGATCAGCTGACCCCAACTGGCCATAGGGATATTCTATACCATATGGCATCATGTTCAGTGCATAAACTGTGAGGAAAGCTGGCCAGGAGCCACTGCTCAGGAACAACTGGGTGGGCATTGGTTGGCAAGTGTGAGCCGATTGCATTGTGCATCATTTGTTTTGTACATTCTAATTATTTTTATTATTACTGCCATGATTATCATTTCTTCCCTTGTCTGTCCTAATAAACTGTCTTTGTCTCAACCCATGAGTTTTCTTGCTTTTACTCCTCTGATTCTGTCCCACATCCAACCATGGGGGGAGTGAGTGAGCAGCTGTGTGGGGCTTGGTTGCTGTCTGAGGTTAAACCACGCCACATGGAAAAATGAGTAAAGTCATATGGTGAAAAGAAAATACATCTGCCTGGGAAATTTGCCATAGTGTAGGGAAAAAGAAAAAAAAAAAAATTTGACTTTAACTAAAGCAAGAGCTAGTAGGAAAACTGTTCAGGCCAATTTCAGATGCCATAACTTGGCTGCTTTTGCAGTAATACTGGCCAGCCCTGTCACATTACTATTCAAAATATTTTCAAGATCACTGCTTGCTGAATTGAGTCCTGGAGTGCAGCCAGATGGCCTTGATCAATGTGAAAGGGCAGCAGCACAAGAAAAAGTCACAGAGTAGGAGATAGAGATGGAATATGGCTCTCTGCCTAGGTGATATCCATCTCAGACAGAACAATGGGGTGGGACATATCTGCACACTCACTGAGATGTGTTTTATCTCTCCCGGAGACTCACAGATCCTTACCAAGATCTGAGAAACCAGCTTCACTCACCTACCTCTAATGTGGTATTGTGCAGTATGGAACTGAGTAAGAACATGTCTCTGCATGTTTTACATGGCTGACACCTGGTTACAGACCCTCAAAAGTAAATCAGCTATGCCACCACAAAGGCAGATCCTTAATCTTGGTGCTTGCACTGTGTTACAGAGATCAAAATCCTCAAGTCATGGAACGAAGTGCTGTCACTGCGTGTTTGCCATTGTGAACTTCCTCCCATTCCTCCACCAGGCACACACAAAGGCTGTTGTTTGAATGAAGGCTTTTGTAAAGGATGCCTGCAAATGCAATGGTAGCTTGGCTAGGGTGGGGAGATAACTGAAGCAGAGGTGGAAGTTCACGTGCTGCCTCTGAAACATGAGAGGATTTTTTGCACCTGTGCAAACTTTCTGAATCCTTTCAGTTCTTGTCCATTGGCTTTTGAAGATGGTAATGTGTCATCTTTGAGGATGGTAGGGCATGTGTACTGCCTATTGCCATGTACCAGAAGACTGAAAGAAAAGAAAATTTCTCCATCTCCAGGAAAAGCACAATAGCAAGCTTTTCCTCAAGACAGTGAGCAGGCTGTTTCCTGAAAAGTAGTCATTGGATTTAACTTTCATCTTTACAGCATTGCATTTATTGCATTTATTTTTGTTGGCCACATCTGCTGTTTGTTCTAGTTAGGTACAGGAAGACTAAGTTATGTTTTGAAGATGTGAGAAGAATTTTGGAGGTAGGAGTGCTTATTTCTTTCAGAATTGAATATGAAGAGATGTAGAAGCAAAGGAACAAAGATAAGCCCTTCTTTCTTCACTGGCCAATCCTGGTATCTTATTCAAGATGTTTGCAATACATCTTAGCCAGCTGAGGAAAGACTAGAGGTGTGAGACAGCTGACCTTTAAAACTGAGGCCTTAACAAGAGAGTTTTCTTTCTGAATTAACTGTGCTTTTTTCAAGGTATTACAACTTTATCAAGTATGGTTTGGTTTGGTTTCTTTCCTCTTTAGAGGCCACATAGTAGAATTGTATACAAATTAATGGAGTTTAGTTTTGATGACAAGAACGTTACATAAAACTGAATGTTTTCTTGTCCTGTAATCTTTGTCCTTATCCATAAACTTGGTGTTAGAGGGTATTTTAAGAGACATAGGAATCTAAGAGGAGGAGGGACTACACTTACCCTCAGGCTGTTTCCAGAATGAAAAATTTCATGGAAGAGTGTTAGTTTAGAGTAATCAATGGTACAGTTGCCACACACAACACAGGCTGCAAATTGTTGTTTAGGAAAAGAAGGGTAATACCTGCAGCTGAAGACTTTCAGCCACAGTTATAAGGTATTGAAGGAAGGGTAGGAGGTGGAAAGGGCATCAGTTCTGTGCCACTGTAGGACAGATTGAAGTTGCAGGTGATGGAAGGAAATACAGCATGTCCCATGCTATGGAGAGCTAAGGGATTTACTAAAGGAATTTGATCTGGGTGGGAAATCCTATTATATCCCTGAATCTGGGTATCACATGAATTTTGAGGAGGTTTGTATCTTTCACTACGGAGAAATCTGGACTGATAGAAGAAGGTCCTACAGATCCCACTTGATTTACTGTGTCTAACCACTTCTGGAGAAAAGCATAAGAGAAAGGCAGATACACAAACTACAACCAACCCTTCATTTGGTGGTCAGTGAAATGAAGTTACAAAAGCTTTACCTCCTACAGATAATCCTATCATGCAGTTTTTTAAATAGATAACAATGGCAAAAAAGCAATTCAGTCTTCCAACCATCCTTAAAAACATCAAGTCAGTTACTGAAGGCACTGCAGTTTAACTTATGTGAATTAATTAACATGTTTGTTTTGACTACTGTGATCCTTGAGTAGCTGGTGAAATCTTAGGGGATCCTCCTTTCTGTTGGGACTACACTCTTCAGCGCAGGGACTGCTTATGGCTGTCGGTGCATGATACCTAGAAGACCTCTGTGCAGACCTCAGTAACTTATAGACACTACTAGAATGTAGTATTGAATGAAAAAAAAAGACATTTTAAAATATTAAAAGGTCTTACAGGAAACATTTTTAATCCCTCTACTCTTAGTTTTGTCCTCTTCTAAATATTGCTGGAGAAGTGAATTCACTGATATTACTGCTTGCTTACTTGTGGCCTGAACATATAATGCAGAGTCACAGTCTGGGTTTGTTTTTTTTTTCTTTTCTTCTTTTTTTATTTTCTTTGTCCTGACAGAAAGATTTCGGGATTTACTGCTACTACATTCAAATCAAGATACAGAGATTCTGCCCATCTTTCAGCAGAGACGCTATCCCAAGTAAGTAAGATTGTCTTCTTGGGAGAAATAAAATCTTTATTTATTTGCAGCAAGGGAGAGTAAAGCATTTATAGCACTGTACATGCTTTTGGTGCAAAGTCCTTAGGCAGAGCTGTCAGGGAGCCACACTAGCACTGATCTCTGCAGTCTTTTGAGTGGTGTCAGGAGAAGAAGACACACATTTCAAGCACGCTCAGCTGTCAGTGGGGGAGGTGGCGGTGGTGGAGCACAGATGTTGAGTTGCCTGGATCAGTGTCTGATGGAGCTTTGTTTCTCTGTTGACACAGGTAGATGTTTTGTCAGGCTAATTCCCACTCTTGTCTTCTGGGATTCCATCATTTATGGTGACAGATTCCCTTGAATTTTAACAGGCTTTCCTCTGATAGCCTGCAAACACTAGGAAACTTTTTTTTTTTCCTTTTTTAGGGATATATGTTTGCCTATGTCCCTAAAGGGATTGAAAGAGTAGTGTTGAGTGTTAAGGAGGTCTTGAATGTATTGTGTATCCTGGACAATACCTCTTCTTTTTTCAAGTGACATACCTGAGTGAAACGATAAAAGCTCTTTGATATTATATTGACTAGAAGAAACAGTCACTTTCAGCTAGAACAGAGACAGTGAAGGGGAAAGAAGAACAGATAGTCCTCATATTAACCCTTACCAGAATGAACAATGAAAGAATGCTAGTGCAGGGTGGACAGAGGGAGGAGATGGAAGAAAAAATGTATGAAGACAATCCCTCAATGATGATGGAAACAAACAAATTTATTATTGTTAGGAGGTTTCTGAAATAGATAAGTATTCATGAAGCTAGGTATTAAATCTCTTTAAATCTGATAGTACATACTTTTTTTAAGAGCAGACAATTAGAGAGGCTGAGTGCTGAAAGCCAGTCACCTCCTCACTGTGAAACTTAAAAATAAAAGCACTCAAGGATAAAATCCTGATTCTGAAAATGGTGAAATCCTGGTTCTGAAAAAAGTTTTGCTTTGACTTCAAGGGAGACACAGTTTTATCCCCCCAAATTTCTTGTTTGCATTGTCCGTTGTCACTATATTACTGGAATACTGTGGAGGTACAATATATGAAATAGTGGAAGGCACCTTATGTGTATGGATTGATCTTCTTTTTTCATTAGGACTTCCGTGAATTATTACTCTTCTCCTCATCCTTTGGAAGCCTGGCAGTACTATGCTTTGCTTGGCTTAGATTATTTAATTTTTGATATGGACACTGTCAGACTGGTCTGAGAAACCAGTTCATTGTCCTTCCTCAAAGAACAGACTTATCTCTATATAAATCATTCCTAAGACGTTTGACTTTCCATTTCATTATGTTCAATTTATTGCTAGCATTCTTGGCAAAAAGTCTACTAACAATATTACACAATGTCAGATTCATGGGCAAATGAGTTGTCTGATGTCTTCTGACAGAGGATGCGTTAAACTCTTCAAAGATCAGAGAGAAAATAGCTTGTACAGAGCTCTGCTGCTGTTGGAAGTTATAGTGGCTGTGCATCACAAAAAGAATACATGTTTTCAGCCACATTACTTGGGAAGATTGACTGATTCCTCTAGCATACAGAAGTCAGCCAAATTTTGGCACCTAACCAAAAAGAAGTTTGTATATGTTCTTAAAACAAATAGATTCTTGTTTGTAGGATCATTAATTGGTGCAAACTCACTTTCTTATTACAGAAATTTATCATATGTTAAAGCTCATTGAGAAACTGGTTGAACACTATTGACATATCCAAATTTTCCCAGGAGTTGTCTTTTGAGCTAAACTTGTGTTTAGCAAAGTAGAAAACCTCTTTATCTTCATAATACATTTTGTCTTATTTCTATATTATTTTTTCACCTTTCCTATTCTCATTTTCACTGAAGGGTCAGCTAACAGAAATTAAAGTAATGAAGAGACAGGTCTCATAAATCAGTGTCCCTTCATTGACTTCAGCCGAGCAGTGGCTGGTTGTACCACATTAGGATCTGAGCAGGAAGATCATTTTAATGAGACGTTGTCATAGGGCACAAACTGGAATTTGTAATGATTAAAGAATTCCTAAGAATATTGAAGGTTAAAGATAGAAGAGAATTCTTAGTAATGACTTAGCTGAATAGCTTGACTAAGCAGGGTTTAGTAGGTAGAAAGGATAAAAGTTTTCACATATTTAAGAGACAAATGTCCAAAGGAAGGAGATTGAATAGGTGGGTGTTCAGTACCACTCAGGATATTCAGAATCATTGCAATAAATATTAAAGGATAAATGGGCAAACTATAATCCATCACCTTTTGGAAGAAATTAGAAACCTTGGTGTTCTTGTCTGAATTATGTTCTTGTTCATTTATTACATTAAGACCTGAACTCTTTCCCAGGTAACAGTGCATGTTTTTCTCAGAGAAGATGTCCATGAACTGAAATGACTGGAAGAAGTTTTCTAGAATATACGTGGACATTTTCCTGAATTTTCTGGGGTAAATGTGTCAAAGAAACATGCTTTGCCCTCCTAGTTGATGGAGATGTGCGATCTTTTTCATGTCCTTGTTTTTGCCCAAGTTTATTTGGATAGGCTTGGCTTAGCCAAGGAGCCAGTCCCTGCTCTGGCAGGCAGAGGAGACCACAGAGAGGCCTGATCTTACGAAGATCAAGTCTTATAAAGCCATACAGCACATCACCTTGACTTCTTGATGTAGCACTGTGTGCCCACAAGCCGCATGGCATCGTGAGCACCGGGTCTCACTGTGGGCTGGGACACAGCACTCTGCCAGGACATGGGCATGTGTTTGTCCTCTCACTTCTCTTCACAGCGCTGCAGAGCAGAAGGAGCTTGGCTCCATCACTCTCATGCCTAGAGTAGAGTTTTTAGTGAAACACACTGCACTGCATGTAATAACATGTTACAGAACTAGCAAGAGCAGTCTAATCCAGGCAGGTCTTTTTGATACCTTGAGTGACGAATGTGGAATTAGATGTGACTAAACCCCCCCCCATCCACTTCATCTGGAAACTGACCTGTCCGCAAAGAGAAATATTTTGAGGGGAAAACCTGTCTCCTTGCTGACATAAAGCCATTAATTACCATGTCCATAAGGATTTGCATTCCTGAAACTAAGAATAAACCTGCAGCTGTGGGCACCCAGATGGGTTGGGGTGCATAGCTGCTGCTGAGCGTAACTGCCTGGGAAAACCCTCTGCACGCAAAGCAAATGACGGACATATCTGCAGCTTAGTCCTGCTCTGCCTCACTCCACAAGCCTGCTGAGGGGAGTTACGCCAACACAATCAGGTCTGTCAGCAAACCAGACTTCCTGCAACAAATCTTATCCTCCTTACTTTTCAAATGAGCATTATGGCCCCTGTATCTCATAAAAAACCTTCAAGGGTCTCACATTTAGCACATTTCTGCAGGAGCTTTTCTCATGTTGGTATCCAGTTCATGCTTTCCTTGCTTGCCCACTTTGCTGATGACATTCCTACATTTTTTTTCAGTTTCACTCATAAAATGCAACAAGAACTGCTAGAGTGCAGCAAAGGCTGCACAGGGCTGCTCCTGAAAAAGGCACTATGCTCATTAGTTTGGCTACAGGGTCCAGCATGTGACTGGGTGGTTGGTGGCAGCAGGGGCTTAGGTTGCTCCATCCCCTCGAGGTCTGGGGTCTTTCCCTGCTGACCCACTCTGCTCCTGACTGCCTGTGCTGTTTGCACAAGGGAAGGATATGCAATTGCCTCGAAGTGCCAGGGGGAAGTGCCACTTGTAGCTGGGCCTGATAATGTCAAAAGAAAAAAAGCAAACCCAAAAGAGCAGAACGATAAGGAAAGTGATAGAAGAAGTGCAAGAGTGAGAAATTAGGTAGATGGGTGAATAAAGCGGGAGGGAGGCTGACACAGCACAAAACAGCATTTGAAGAGGGATGTGCCAGAAATGCTACTGGCATTACAGGTTTTTAGCATTTTTTTTCTGTCTAGAAGTGACTTGACAGTTCAGTTGTACTTTATATTTTCAAGTTATTGCTAAAATCCTCACATAAATATGTGGAGTTTTTTTGAGGGATTATTGCTTCTTTTTTTTCCCGTTCAGATATATTTGCAGTCTTCACTCTTATCTTCTGTGAGTTTAGTAAAAAAGTTTTTGGATGATTCACAGATTCTAAGAGCAGAAGGAGTGGTTATGTTCCAGCTAATTTGAGTCCCTTCTTAATATAAGCCATAGAGCATTAGTGATAATCCTTGCAGCAAGTTTCTTGTTCAGCCAGAGCAGGAATTTAGAATCAAATTGAGACCTTAAAAATTGAAAAACTTACAAGCCTTTAGATCAGCTTGTTTCAGTTGTCAGTTACTTCACTTGTGATAATTTTTTTAACTTCAGTTTCCAGTTTCTGCCATCTCACTGTACCATTTTCTGCTGAACAAGAAAGTCCTGTACCATCTGAAATGACACCTCCATACAAAAGGGTGGAGGTCAGTTTAAAACTTGCCCTTCTTTTGAACAAAATAAATAATAATTTCTTGCAGGGTATGTATGGCTTGCTAAAAAGGTCTCTGCCCCAAAATTTTAAAATCTTTCAAACGTTTTCCCACTTACTTTTAAAATAAATCAAAATAAACACAAATGAACAAAAAAAGGCAGGAATGAAGAAAAGCAAAATGTTGGTGACTGTTTCCATAATGTGCACATAGAGAAATAACAGCACTTCTTTATAGTCAAATAGGGAGATAATCTAAACTCATAAATTTGTCTATATAAGAAATAAATCTTATTATTTAAATGGAATGACAAAGTCTTGAATTTTGGAGGAAAAAATGAACTTAGGACCTAGCAGGTATGATGAAATAATATTCCAAATACATTTACTTTCCCTCAGTCATAAAGTTACAAACCATTCTTTGGCATATATTCCTAGTAAATTAAGGTAGTCTTCTTGTGTATGTGCAAATATGCTGGTAATTTTCATGTCACCAAAAATCCCAGATAATACAGCATCTTGATACATATGTATAT